ATGGATTAGTCAACGAAGCTGGTCAAACAGGATGATGCAGGGCTGATGTCATAGGCGCGGCGCACGTTAGCAGAGAGTGGCGCGGCGCACGTTAGCAGGCGAGAGACACACGGCGCACGGAAGCAGCTAGGGCTGACGTCGGCTGACGTCAGAAACACGCGGCTCACGTTAGCAGATGAGGCCGGGGCGCACAATAGCACCGGACAGTGTAGGAAGCGCGTGGAGCGCGTCTGAACCGAGTGAGCGCGTGGCCGAATGTTCTGGCGGCGCGTGGAGGCGCGTGCGGCGGCAGATGATGATGAATCTGGTGGCGTTGGCTTCGTCGTGAAGAGACGAAGGTGATGGTACTGTCCAATCTGTGTATTAGGGAAGGACGAGGTACGCAGCAATCTGTCAGGAACAAGATATGTGATGCAGAGACTTAGGAAACACACCTGTGCTCTGATACCATGAAAGAGAAATTGAGAGAGTTGAGAGAGTAATATTGAAAGGGGTTTTTGTATTATTAACACTCTGATTACAAACCAAATGGAGGCTCCATTATATAGGAGAGCTGAATACAAACATCATTATGGTATACATCACTAAAATAAGAAAAAGGCACACCGAAAGGAAGTGGGCGGCCGAAAGAAGAGACAAGCCGAAAGCTAAAGCTCCTATTATATACATACTATATTATATTACATACTATATTATATTATATACTAAAGCTGTCTCCATATTAGATTATATTAATAAGTATATGAATATTATATACATATGTTAACAGAAATGATGGGGAGAGAAAAAGATGACAAAGTTCTTCCAATTTTTCATTATCTTCTTCATTAAAACATGCCATGGAATCTGACATGAATCTGACATACTTTTTATGTTTAATCAGATTTTTTTTTTGGGGGGGAACTAGGAAAAAGGAAACATCGAACCCTAATATGATACTTCTGATTAAACATTGCTTAATGTGGAAAAAAGTCATTGTTTTGGAAAAAGAAAATTTGTATGAGAACATTGAGAAGTCTTTGTTAACAATATCCAGTTATAATTTTTTTTTTCTTTTAGACAACAGAGCTGCTTTAAACTTCACATCTGCATCTTGTACTTCTTTTTTTTTCCCCTATCCTATAAATCATGAGTTGCTGCTGCAATGCAATTTTGAGAAAAGATGTTGGAGAATGAGGCAAACCCTTATATCAGCAAGACGACTCATTTGCCACGGAAACGTTTTTATCGGGTACGAGCTCACAGCAATCCACTAAGTGACTCCCACTTCCCTGTGCCTATCTCCCCTTGCCATGTCGACTATTCCCTCTGTTTGCCTCAATTGTTTGCATTATCTGATCAAGTTGACAATTCCAAGAAGATCCAATTTGCAGATATCGGCTGTGGTTTTGGAGGACTCCTAGTTAGTCTTTCAACCCTATTCCCTGACACCCTGATGATTGGGATGGAACGCTGAGGGACAAAGTAACAGAGTATGTCAGGGAACGAGTTTTAGCTTTGTGGTTAGCACATCCTGGTCAGTGCCAGAATGTATCAGTGGTTAGAACTAATTCCATGAAATATATTCAGAATTACTTTAAGAAAGGATAGTTATCGAAGATGTTTTTCCTGTTCCCTGATCCTCACTTTAAGAGAAGAATCATCGGTGTCGTGTGATCAGCCCACACTTGCTAGATGAATATGCTTATGTTCTTGGAGTTGATGGGACTATATATATGGTTATGGATGTGAAAGAACTTGGAGAGTGGATGAAGGCTTGTTTAGAGGGACACCCTATATTTGAAGCTCTTACAGATGAAGAACTTGAAGCTGATCCAGTTGTGAAGCTCTTGAGTAGTGCCACTGAGGAAGGACAGAAGGTTACGTGGAATGAGGGAGAAACTTTCCAAGCAGTTTTTAGACACATCGTGCTGTCTGTGTTATCTGAGTACAAAATCTTCATCTAGAATGATGTAGCAGCTTTAGGTTCTCTTATTTTAAAATTGAAAAAGCCCATCAGAGTGGCTTCTATTTCTGTGTTTGTTTGGTGTTGGGGTCTAATTCTGCTTGGTGTTTGTTTGCTGTCTCACCAACGGTTTGGTGTTCCTTTTGGTGGTTGAATATGATTGTGTGAGTCTCATTAGGTGCCAATTTTATTGGGACACCAATTCACTCGTTCTGTTGCAGTTGTTAGTTTCACATGGTTGGTTGGTTTTTCTGCGTCTGTTTTTTTCTTTCTTATGTTCTGTTGTAATATTGGTGTTAAGAGAAGTTGAGTTTTTGGGTTTTTCATTCTCTAGTTTGATAGGTTTTTTTGTGGTTCTCATCCAAAAGCAAAAGAAGGATAATAACAACATATGTCAAACACAACAACAAATATACGGCCAAGCTTATTCTTTAAAGCAATCATAACATGGATCCTGGAATTTTGACATCAATTGGTAGTCTTTTTAACTCGAGTTTAGTCATGTCGGGAACGTGTGAGGTTGGCAATAGATGGCATTTGAGTAGGAGACTGTTGTAATAAAAGTAGTTTCTATGTGGTACGAAGGAATGCATTTGCTTGTTTCTCATCATCAACTTGCCTACCAATCATAATCCCTGGTTTTTCTTCCATTGCTTTACTGACCAGTGCCTCGAACGGTCCTTCAACTGACCAGTGCCTCGACGATTCAAGTCAGGCAAAGGCCATGGGAATTTTTGAGCTTCAGATTCTGAACGGTCCTTCGACTGACCAGTGCCTCGAGGACGATTCAAGTTAGGCAAATCCCATAGTCCTTGAGGTTCAGATTCTGAACGATCTGTCAATGTATTCCCTGGTCTTTTCTCCGTTGGTTTGTTGTGAAATAATATTGTATCCTTCAACTGCCAAGTAGCACCAAATATTATTATCATGGTTAAAAAAATATAATAATCCCATTGAAAAAAAATACACAAGCCTCACGAGTCTACCATACAATTTTAACAATTTGGAAAGGAAAAAAGAGTTATTTTGGTCTCGATTGTTTTAATTAGCTCGATTTTAACCTTTAATTTTAGATTTTGTATTAATTTGATCTAATTAATAATGTTAATTAGGGTTTTGAGCTTAACTTACCAAGTGGAACAGGTTTATAATTTTATCTATGAAAGCATGACGTGTGTAGTTTATGTGCTTATTTTTATTAAAAAATATAGAAATTATAATCTATTGTATCAAATTGAAACAAAATCATAAATTCAATATTAAAACAAAAATAATTGAAATTATAAGATATCACATAAAAACACCCAAAAAAGCATCATTGATTGCATACAAATAATGACTCAGGACCTAACCTCGGGTCTCAAATCTTGGTTGGAGCATTTCTGAGTCATTGTTCTTCACTCGGATTCAAAGTGTTTGGCTTCGATTTCTGCTAATTCTTGGTCAGCACTTCAACCACTGGATTCTAGGGTTCAGAAAAATTCATAAGCCCTGCGGAGAGAGACAAGAATGGGAGTGTATATTACTTATTAGAATCCTATGTTTTCATATTTGCAAATAGTGAAAGATTATAGACATATTTATAGACCTACCAGAAGGCTACGCGTACGCGTCTAGAATAAAAAATTGAAAGGAAGATGGAAAAAATAAAATAAAATAAAAGACGAAATAAAAAAAGGGTAGTAATTTTAGTATAATTTCAAAATATTTTATCAGTTGTGTCTTATATAACAAAATAAGAAGTTGAAGTCAACATTGTAACGAAAAGAAAAAACTTTTCGCAGCAAGATCCCAAAATTTACAGCATATTTGGATTGAGTGATAAAGAAATTAATTTCCTTTGGTCCTAGTTATCTATTTGGATTGCAAGAAAGGAGATGGAAAAAATATATATATATACAAAAATATATAAAAAAAATTGAGGGAAATTCTTTTTGAATCAGTCAAAAAATGCAGAGAAGGGAAATCAAATAATATATTTTCTTTTCAACTTTTTTTTAATCTTAAGCTTAATCAAACAAATGGTTTTCTCTTCTTCTCTCCTGTAGTCCTAAACAGTTCGTATTAAAAAAAGAATGATCATCTAAAATATACAAGTCACATACAGATTAATTGTATTTAACCAAACTATAAAAGCACCAAAAAAATATTGTTGATTACATAAAATTAATGAAATCAAGACCTAACCTTGGGTCTCAAATCTTACTTTCTTCGATCGGACTCCAAGGGTTTGGCTTCAATTTCTTCTAATTCTTGGACAACACTTCAACCACCGAGTTCTAGGGTTTACAAAAATTCACAGGCCTTGGGTTTGGGGCCCTCAATAACGCTCTTGCTGAACTTTTGTGCACTTGCAGCAATAGCTTCTGATCGTTTACTTATAATAATCGGATTAAAGTGTTCCATATCCCGGAACCTCAGCGGAAGCTTCCATGGTCCTTCCATTTTCAATTTTGGAATCCAGAGTGTAATTGCCACCGTCCAATTCACATGGCAAAATATTATTCACTCTTTTGGTTTCAGTTTTCATATTTCATATTTTAATTTTTTATATATTTTTTCTATTGAATTTTTTAATATTTTAAGTAATTTTTTAATTTTTAAATACACTTAACATAAATATACTTAAACAATATAATATTCGTGAAAAAATCTTTAAAGATTTTACTAAATACCAAAAATATAAAATAAAAAAAAATCAATATATTTTTCCTATTCTTGTATATTTATTACTTTTTAAAAATATTTTTTTACAAATATTTTATTTATTATTTAGATACATCTAAGTAAGGTGCATTTTAAAAAGTAAAAAAATTACATAAAATTTTAAAAATATTCACTAAAAATAAAAAAAATTAATTTTCAAAAATTTGAATTCAGAAAACTGAAACCAAATACAATAATTGTTATTTTTGTGTTGTCAAAAAAAAAAAATGTATATTAGAATTACAAAAATATAAGGAATGTTGAGTAAATTACAAATACATCTATTGGGATTTGTTTAAAATACAAATTATTTGAAAATTATTATAAACATCTAGTTGTCAGAAATTTTTTATTTAATAGAATTAATAAAAAAATAAAATTTCTAATTACTCCCTTACACAATAATAAAATTATTGAAATTGTTAATTGAAATATATTTTTGAGAACACTAAAAAGTGTTATTACACTACAAGAGAACATGCATGTTGAGTTTGCAGAGTGCTATCGCAAAAAACATAATTGCTGTCGCAAAAAGTTTTTGCGATGGCATTTCGACGACATGGTGAGGGACGAGAATATGGGGGTCGCTAAAAGTTTTTGAGTCGGGAACTATGTCGTCGCAGCATATTTACGATGGTAAAGAGTATTAATTGAGACGGTCTCCTACTGTCGCAAAAAAAATAAAAAAAATTACATAAAATTTTAAAAATATTCACTTTAAAAATAAAAAAAAATTAATTTTCAAAAATTTGAATTCAGAAAACTGAAACCAAATACAATAATTGTTATTTTTGTGTTGTCAAAAAAAAAAATGTATATTAGAATTACAAAAATATAAGGAACGTTGAGTAAATTACAAATACATCTATTGGGATTTGTTTAAAATACAAATTAATTGAGACGGTCTCCTACTATCGCAAAAAAAAGGCCAAAAATCACTTAGATTAGTATCTGCAAACATGCTGTCTCTAATACTATTATTGTGTCTGTACATTACCTTCGCTATAGATTTTTTTGCATCTGTAATGTGCCGACTGTAACAAAATTCATCTGTACACTGTATAAGCTTTTTGAGACTGTTAATTGCTGTCGCCAAAAAAAAAAAAAAGTTATTTCGTTTTTGTAATTAATACTTGTATTATGTTTGTTGAAATCCAATAAAAAAAAATGCATTCAATCAATAGACATTCATTCATTCATTCAAAAATCAAAAATGTTTACACAAATTCAGTTATCATCTTAGCTTCATTGACATCAAAATATTAACAAAAATTTGTTTAATCAATACAAACAGTATGGTGGCAATATGTTATAAATATTAAGTACAAAAAGCTTGACATTTGAAACCACAATATAATATGTCCAAAAATAAAATTAGCTTCCATGCCACCATTAATTCATCTATTTATTAGTCATTAATGCATGCAAAACCTAAAAACAAAAACAAAAACAAAAACAGATTAAATCAAATATTAGGTTATATAATATATATAGCTTTACCAAGTCATAAACTCAATTTTAGCAGGACATTCCCTAGCTAATACTATTGGGCCTCACTAAATATAATCAAATTGTCTAGATTATAATCAAATTGTCTAGCTCAGTGCTAGACAGTGAAGGCAATTAGGACATTGTCGTGCTAGAAAACCTGGTCTGCTCTCAGACCATACTAAAAATTCTCAAAATCCGTAGGCCTAGATTTGTGACATTCACAGATGCTCCTTTTTGGGTTGGTTCCACTAATGGTAAGTTCACTACTACTACTGCCAATAAACTTATTGCTAATCAGGTCATGAGTAGTGGGGATTGGAACTGGATCTGGAAACTCAAAGTTCCTCAAAAGCTGAAAACTTTCATCTAGCTTATTCTTAAGGGAAGGTTGCTCACTAATCATATAAGACTCATAAGGAATATGGCCTCAACTGACTTGTGCTCCAGATGTGGATTAGCTAGTAAAGACATGAATCATCTCCTTAGAGAGTGCAACTCCCCGAAATACATTTGGGTTCAAATAAAGGACACTAAATAGTGGGAGGCTGGATGTGGTCAGCCTCTTTTGAATGGGTTGCTGAGAATTTGAAAAAAAAAAAAAAAACTGAGTTTTTTGGTAAAAAAATGGTATACTATTTTCATTGTTACCCTTTGGCAGTTATGGAAAGATTGAAACAAACTAGTTTTTGAAAGCCAAATTACCCCTATTCAAATCAGTCTCAAGAACATAAGAAATTATGTCCATGAGATTGATGAGGCTTTCCAATCTATCCTCCACCCGAATCTCTCGCATCATAGACTAATCAAATGGTTTTGTCCACCTATAGGAAAGCTGAAATTAAATGTTGATGGCTACTCAAAAGGAATGCAAAATAGGTTCAACACTATTAAGAAATGCAAAATAGGTTCAACACTAATCAGTCTTACTTTAGGTTCAACATCAGGAAAATAGGTTCAACAGCAACAATAACACTAAATCGGGTTTTCAGTAGGCTAACCCTTAACCTCAACTATGTGTGATTGTGAATATTACATTATGTAATAGAGATACCTGCATAGGAGAACCCAATAACTCATCATCATGACTGTCATGATCTCCTACAGACTTCCTGACTTGTTAACGTTCACTAGAGGCATTTGGAAGCTATATAACCAACACCAATACCATTTTATTAAATATAATACATAGAAAGAAAAGGAAATAAAAGAAAAGAAAAACAAACAAATTGCCCAAGTTATTCAATTAGTTATTTTTACTCCACCTGTATACCACTTAGGCCGCCTTGGGACCCTATGAAGTCCATCCAAGCTCTAATTTGCTCAAACTCTACCTTCAACTTCTCAGTGACCCTTTGCTCAATCTCAACCGTTAGCCTTTGCTCAATCTCTTAAGTAACTGGGTACATAAATTTTGAATTCTACCTTCAAATTCTCTCAAATGAAAAAGGAACAACCCTTTCTCAGTGAGGACAATACAACATTACTCAATTAGAATTCTGCTAGTAGATTACAAAATTATACACCATTAGTCCTTAATATATAGAAAGCTCAAAAATAGAGAACCCTTTTTGGCTACATATCAAGCCAAACCTGTGAGGCGAAAGAACAGGGGTGGAAGGTTACAAAAGCATGCACCATTTTTCCCCAGTTTGATTCTAGAGAAAGCTCAAAATTAACTAGAGGCGAAAGAACACAAATCGAACACTCAAATCATCTACTATTTCAATTCTTAGGGAGACTGATATGTATATACATAGAGAGAGAGCACTAACCTACAGGAGGACAGTTGGCGGTGTCGGTGGAGAGGAGGAGAGTCGGTGGTGCCGGTGGAGATGGAGAATCGACGGTGCCGGTAGAGATGGAGAATCGGTAGTGCCAATATGAAGAGTTCGTTCCTTAGTGATGAACGAAGATGAAATTTAGGGCAAAAAGAGAAGAATTTTTTTTTTTTTTAAAAAAAGAGGAAGGGTATATATATCAGGTTCTAAAAACGATGTGGTTTTAATTTTTTTTCAATTACTTTTTGTGACAGCGCACAATATAGACGCAAAAGTAACTTGAAATGGGCGTGAAAAAAGGCGCGCGATGCAATTTTTGGAGCCAAAAAAGTGGAAAAAAATTAAATAAATTTTTTTGAGACGGTAAAAATTTGGCCAACGCAAATAATATTTTGTTTGAGACGGTATAGTCTGACGACTCAAATAATAATAGTAAGTACATTTTTTTTTTGAGACAGTCCTACTTTGCCATCTGTAATAATACATTTTTGAGTTAGCAAATGTTTCTGTCACAAATAATGGGACACAAATAGCTCCTTTTTTTGTAGTGTTAACTTAATGATGTATTAATTAAAAAATTATTTGTTATTCGATTAAAAATTTGAAGGGGCAAAATATAATTTTTAAAATTACATTAAATAATACGTATATTAAAAAAATCTGAAAGAATATATTCGTAACTTTTCGAAGAATGTTTGGTTGTGTTTTGCTTTTTATAAACTTGTTTGCTGAAAATAAATGGAACTCATTTCAAAAAGCGACCCTTGTTATCTTATTTGTCTTTTTTGGGATATTTTAAACCATTTGTCATTTTCTCTAGTGCTTCATCCTTGCATGTGCATTGCTGTTCCATTTTTAAAGCCTTTAAAGAATATATTCGTAACTTTTCGAAGAATGTTTGGTTGTGTTTTGCTTTTTATAAACTTGTTTGCTGAAAATAAATGGAACTCATTTCAAAAAGTGACCCTTGTTATCATATTCGTCTTTTTTGGGATATTTTAAACCATTTGTCATTTTCTCTAGTGCTTCATCCTTGCATGTGCATTGCTGTTCCATTTTTAAAGCCTTTAAAGAATATATTCGTAACTTTTCGAAGAATGTTTGGTTGTGTTTTGCTTTTTATAAACTTGTTTGCTGAAAATAAATGGAACTCATTTCAAAAAGTGACCCTTGTTATCATATTCGTCTTTTTTGGGATATTTTAAACCATTTGTCATTTTCTCTAGTGCTTCATCCTTGCATGTGCATTGCTGTTCCATTTTTAAAGCCTTTAAAGAATATATTCGTAACTTTTCGAAGAATGTTTGGTTGTGTTTTGCTTTTTATAAACTTGTTTGCTGAAAATAAATGGAACTCATTTCAAAAAGTGACCCTTGTTATCATATTCGTCTTTTTTGGGATATTTTAAACCATTTGTCATTTTCTCTAGTGCTTCATCCTTGCATATGCATTGCTGTTCCATTTTTAAAGCCTTTAAATTTTAACTTTACTTATTACTTGAGGCTAATTAAACTCAATAATTTGACAAAGAATAATATTATATGTATTAATTAATGTACGCATTAGTATATTAACAGATGATGTGATATCATTTGTATGATTTTCAGTATTTTTAATTTGTATAATAAATATGGTCAATAATAATATCATAACACTAATTGGTACACTAGTATGTGCACTAATTAGTACATGTAGTACTACCATTGGACAAATCATAGTGAAGGTACATTCCTCAAGTTTTTCCATTTGACTATTTTATTTGTATCTATATGGAATTTGTAGGCTATTTTATGGTACAGAAGATATTATGGCACTTCAAACCAATACCTATAATAGGACTGAATATGAAAATATTGTTAAAATATTGGATTATTGGAGAACATTATATAAAGACCCAGATTTAGGTATTGATGAAAGAAATAGGCTACTAGATCAGATATGAGAAACTTATCTAGAACATGAAGCTATTTTACAACACTTTAATTATGATATTAATATGTCAACTAATGATGATGACAGTCAATCATCCTCATCTGAAGAAACATTAGATCAAGATATTTCATCTGAAATAAATAAAGGGAAAAGAAAGTCAGAAGAGTCAATTGATCCCGAATTATTTGGCACATGGAGAGATGGGGAAAATTTTGACTTTATTCAGACAAATGAAGTTAAAAATGACACTAATATTGGAAGTACCTCCAATCCTACACCTGAGCCAGTAATATCTAGAAAAGATAATGATCATAAGTATCCAATAGCTCAAAATGGTACTTATTTAGACTTGCCTCATGTTCCATTTAAGGATCAGGAACAAGCAATTGATGATTGGACACAATCCTTGTCCATCATTATTACCAATTATAAAAATAGTTGGTCAAAGGAAAAATTCCTTGATTATATTACAGCAACTCTCTAGGGAGATGTGTTACAATGGTTAAGACAGTGGGAAAAATCTGAAATTGAAAAAAGTCAAAAAACAGATTTGTTAACAAATTTTTTCACACTTGACACAATTTTAGCTGAATTTGCAAAAATCATAAAAGAAAATTTATGTGGTTTTGCAGGAGATACTAATTTGCAAGCAGATGCAAATTATATTTTGATTAAATTAGAATTATGCAATATTTGTCTTTTTGAAGACTATGTTCAAACTTTTAAAAAATATTATTGTCTTATTGATCCACCAGCAAATCAACCCTGGTTAGATCAATTTTTTCATAAACTCCCTAATCCATGGGATGAGTTATGTATTAAAACATATCCTGATTTTCTCAAAAAAATGGGGAAGGAAGAATATAATAATCTTGGTTTTCGCATTAATTATGTTCTAAGACTGATAGCAGATCGGTGTCTAGAAGCAAAGGCGAAAAAACAAATAAAAAATCAAATTTCCAACTCACAATACAGTAAAAAATGTTGTGATAAAATTTTAAAAGAAAATTAGAAAATTGATTGTAATACATTTCCTAAAAGAAAAGGATTTTTCAAAAAATGTCGAAAATATAAATGGAAACCTTGGAAAAAGAACAAAACGTTTTCAAAAAAGAAAAAGTATATTCGAAAAAAGAAACCAACAATTGTTTCAAAAATGAAAACTTGTAAAATATTACATTTGTAACGAAGAAGGTCAATATGCACCCGAATACCCAAAAAGAGGAAAAAATGCAAAGAAAATGATCAAAATTCTTGAAGAACAAGATTTTGAAATAATATATGGCGAATAAATTTCTGATGAAAAAGAAATCTTATATGAAATTTCAAGTGATGAAGAAAGTTCAGACGAAGAACTAAACTTCATAATGACTAATAATAGTCAAGAAATATCCCCAAAAGAGTTATAGGCAATTCGACTTGGAAATGTAATCGGAGAAGAAAAAACTTTTACAGACGAAGAATTAGCAAAATTCGAAAAAATGCAAGAAGTTGCTGTTCCAAAAATTTACAAACTTTCAAAATTCAACTTCTTTTCAGCAAGAGTGTTTGAACAATACATTGGTAAGACTCAAGCAAAATGGTCAGAAGAAGGAAATATTGATATTCCTTTTTTTGATAAGAAAAAGGTTGCAAGATGGAAAAAGAAATATCTTGAAATTCAATATATTCATATTGGATTAATCCAAGTAACCATAATAGTCTTATTTCGCCAAGGGATAGTATGTTGGCAGTAATTTTTGACAAAAGATTTTTGGTTTGGTTTAATGTTAGACCAAATTTCTTTATTTCCATAAATGATCCTAATCTTGAAGATACTGTCAGAATAAGAATTAAAACACAAGGATTAAGAATGAAATCAAATTCTTATGATTTGGCTATTCGTTAGAAAACAATTCACGAATTAACCAAATTTTCTGAAACAAAAACAAGATCAAACGATAATAAAATCGTTGAAATCTTTGAACCAAGACCATTTGACACGGTAATATAACATCGTCTAATGAATTGGAGCGATTTAGAAGTCCCTCGACAATGGTTAATCCAAGACCTAGTGGGACAAGGAGAATCTTCTAAAACAAAAAAACCTACACAATTACAAATGCAAGCATCAGGAAAAAATTTATATATTGAAAATACAGTTAAAAAAATTAAAAGATTAACTTTTGTATTTGAAAAAGATTTTCCTAACAAATCATTTTCAAAGTTAAGAAATGGAGAATCAAGTAATAATTCTAATCAAGAATCTATTACTCAAACAAAAAAACTTGAACATATTAAGTCTGCATATATGTATCATTTTCAAACAAAAAATGATGATATTATTTTTTTTCCTAGCCAAGGAAAAAGAAGGTACACATATGTATTGGGAACATTTAATTTTGTAGGTTATAAACCCTATAGCCTCAGTGTTCTAACAGACACAGGAGCTACAGTTAGCTCATGTAAATGGAATGCCATACCAAAGGAAAAATGGACATTAATGAAACATCCAATTTTGGTTACTGGAATTGATAGAAACCATACTTCCATACAATTCAAGGCTAAAAATATAGTTATTTCGCTAAATGATAGCAAGTTCATTATACCAAAGATTTTATGTTTTCCATATATGCGTGGAGATTTCCTTCTTGGCAATAATTTTATATATAAATACCTTCCAATGCAAATACAGGAAAAAGCTATTTCATTAAGCATAAATAATGTCTTAATTCATATTCCCTTGTTAGAACAACATAAATACATTTGTGATAAAGAGTTTGCGCCCGTGCCGCATGGTGATTTAACTCCCATCATCAAAACCATTGATGAATCACACTGGATTTATAAAATTTTAGAAGAAAATTTTATTGAACATCTATGGCAACGTAGTCCACGTTATTGTAGTTTAAAATTAAAAGACCCTAATGTTATCATTAGAGTAAGACCAATGATCTACACTAGACAAGATATAGATGAATTTGACATTCAACTCTAGGAACTTTTAGAAAAAAAGTTAATTGAAGAAACTAGAAGCCCTCACTCTAGTCCAGCTTTTATGGTAAGAAACCATGTTGAAATTAAAAGAGGAAAAGTCCGAATGGTAGTCAACTATAAACGACTAAATGAAAATTTAGAATTTGATGGATATTTTATTCCAAG